AGATCTTCTTTCTTTTCATCATATCATCTCGGAATGCAACTTACTTCATTTAAGAATATACTTGTTCCGGATCTGTCAAGGATCATTTCTTATGCAGGATAGAGTCATAGCTCATACAACACTGGAAACCCAGGGGGTTGCTTCCAGAGAAAATTCCACATTTCTGGAGGGAAGTCCCGTGGCCAGAAAATAGTCCTGACTTGAATTCAATTGAAAATCTATGATCAATGCTTGGTAATATGGTGGACTAGGAACTGCCTACTCCTACTACTGTTGCTGGATTGGGATGATCCCTGCTGGATGCCTCGAGAATGGTTCCCTTAAAGATCCCCCAGAATCCCATTCATTCTATGCCATGTAAGGTAGAAACTGTCGTAAAATTTAAAGGAAAATATCCTGTAAATTTCGAAATATATATTAGGAAGAAATGGATCCGACAAAGCAAAGGCAGACCGGAATGGCCATTTCTAGCTTGTTAGCCGTCATCAGCCAGTCATAGCCAATCTCAAGGGTGGGAACCCCTGAGATTTGAACCCGGGACCTTTGGTCATTGAGTTCAATACTCTACCACTAGCCCACGGGCTCCTTGCTTTAGAAACTGAGTGTGCTAATAGGGAGCAAAGAATTTCGGGACAGCACTTATATATAGACTCCCCGTCTCCCACCCTAATCAAGCATCACACCACTGGGCTCTTTTGAGCGGATTAAGCACGTTCAAACTCTACAAGAAAGCAATATCTCGCAGGGTCTTATCTTTGCTTGTCTATCTGCCTTACTTACACCTAGACATATTTGTGATTATTACACAAAAACACCCATAGCTGGTTCGAGTTGCAATAGTGTAATCTCACTCTCTGCGGCAATATCTCGCAGCGCTTGGAATCATATGAAAATATTCTTGTTCCGGACAGGTCAATGATTATTTTTTATGCAAGACGGAGTCATAGCTCATACAACACTGGAGACCCAGGGGGTTACTGCCAGATAAAATTCCACATTTCTGAAGGAAAGGCCCGTGGCCAGCAAAAAGTCCTGATTTGAATTCAATTGAAAATCTATGATCAATACTTGGTAATACGGTTGACGAGAAACTGCCTGCTCGTACTACTATGGCTGGATTGCAGAGATACCTGCTGGACGCCTGGAGAAAGATGCCCATGGAGACGCTCCAGAATTTCATTCATTCGATGCCTGTGTAGGGTAGAATCTGTCCTTAAGGTCAAAGGAGAATATCCCGTAAATTGCGAACTATATTACTTTAGAAACTGTGAATGTGTTATTGGGGTGTAAAGAATTTCGGGACACCCTTTTATATAAACTCCCAAAGACTCCCTTTGAGATATCCAATAAGCTCAGTCCTCCACCCCAATTAAGCATTAAGCCACTGGGCTCTTGTGAGTGCATCAAACACGTTCAAACTCTACACGAAAGCAGTATCTAGCAGAGTCTTATCTTTGCTTGTCTATCTGCCTTCCTTACACCTAAACATAGTTGTGATTATTATGCGGAAACACCCATAACTGGTTACAATAGTTGCAATAGTGTAATCTCACTCTCTGCGGCAATATCTCGCAGAGCCTTATCTTTGCTTGTCTATCTGCCTTCCTTACACACACACATATATAGTTGTGGTTGTGGACGCCTGCCGGTGGAACATTCAGCCGATGTGCAACTGGAAGCGCAGATCTACCTGGCTGCCAGCCAGGCAACCGGTGGTAGGGGCCTGCACAACAGCCTTGGAGAACCTGAACGTTGGCAGGTGAGGACACACACTCGGGAAATGCCCATCACAGCCTACGGCACTGTGGAGTTCCAAGGCGGCCCACACGCCACCAAAGCCCGAGTAAGTCACCTGCCCCTCACTTCTGTCCTCTGAGTCATGGTGACTTACCTGCGACCCCTAGAAGGCCTCTTATGTTGGCCATTTGCAATCTAGAGTGCATTTTAATGCCTCGCACCTGCTGTCTGTATCAAGCGAGCGAGCGGGCATGCGTG